TCCGTTAGTCTCGGGGGTGCTGGCGATGTCGTTTGTGATGGTCACTGGTTCCTGGCTGTTCTGGCCTGCGGTAAGGAGGTGCGGTGCGGATGAGAGGGGACACAGAGAACTTCTTGCTGCTATTGAGTTCGTCAAAAATCTTGGTACGACTACTTTTGGTTTCGTTAAGGATTGATTATTGCCTTCACTTAATTTTTTATTTTTTTTTGGCAAATGTAATTATTTTAATAATTTTTTTTAATGAAAGTGACTTCACAAGTTTGGTGGCGGGAACACAGTCTTACTTGATCTCTACCTTTACATACTCTATCACCTCTATCACTTGAGCTAACTTCAACGGTTCCATTTTGTGCGTTTGTTTTATTGAATTCGTATTATAATTTAAATTATAGTTCGTAATTTATTATAATATTTTTTTAAAAAAATATATATAAATAAAAAATATTTTTAAATTATAATTCTAAATTCATAAACTAAACGTCTATTGAAGATCTTACTAAATTAACTTTTTATATAAGATTTTACTCAATTATTAGAATTTTTTTTTCTTTTTTCCTTTTTTTTTGTGTGTCTAATCACATGCCGCGCACCCAAACAATGTGTATTACATATATTATTTTCCGATCGAACCAGGTATATTGCATTTACCGGCACATTTCTTCTTCTTCTTCTTCTGGATCCTTCGAGAAAAAACCTATATATAGAAGAAAATGAAATTTAGAGAAACTCAAGATAACAAAAGAACAAGGATCCCACGTAAATCATTACAATCTAGTTAATTATATTAGCAAGTCAAGGGTGTGCGTTTAGAAAAGCAGTCAATTTCAAGCCAAACATATATAATTTTATGGGTTAATTTCATAAACGGTCTCTCTGAAGTTTGTCCTCAATCTCATTTTAATTCTTGACTTTTTAAATGTCTCACAATTAATCCTTCATATTTTATTCTATTTTAGTTTCGATCTTTCCGTTAATTAGGTATTAAAATTTGATGGAATCTCTGTAAATTGTGTATAAAATTAGAAGCAGTTAGAACTCGAGGACTATATGTGAAAACTATTGTTTTATCCGTTAATTTCATATGTTTTTAATTTTGATCCTTAATTTTCACAATTTTCATCAAATATTAAACATAAAATTATCATAAAATGATCGAAACTAAAACATAATAAAACTTTAAAGACCAACTGTGAAACGTTTTGAAAGTATGTTTAGTAAGTTAGATTGAGAATGAAAAGGATAGCGGTTAGAGATGCAAGAATGGACCGGCCCGGCCTGACCCTTTATCCTTAGGCCCAAGCAGGCCGTGGGCCGGGCCGGCCCAACTCACGAAATTTGTGGGTTAAACCTAGCCAGCCCATATAAGAATTATCTCGGCCCAGCCCACACCACATGTCAATTTTACGTGGACTAGGCTGGGCCGTGTCGTGGGCCAGGATGGGCTGTGCCATGGGTTTTGAATGAGCCAGCCCATTCAAGGCTCATCTTGGCCCATCTAAGCATGTAATTTTTAATTTTTAAATTTTTAAACAAGTTAACAAATATAAAAGTTTGAAGAGTCAATGAAAATATGAAAAGGGATATTTTATTTACGATTGCCTCATTAAAAACCTTTCCAAGAAAAACTCAGTGGTACAAAACCTTAGTAAGGAAAAAAGAGTACCATCAGGATAATTATACATAAGATGTTTACAAAATTACTTAAAAACAGAAAAAAAAAAATATTGTTCATAATTACAACATATTACTCCCGGTGAGAGTATCATAAATGTCTAAATTTTTAAAGTCATCAACCCAATCATCTTGAACTTGTTGGCTTCCCCCATTTGTGGGCCTATATGGGCCTTACACTAGCCGGCCTAGCCTAACCCAAGCCCGACCTAGCGTATGATTTTTCAGAGGCCGTGCCGGGCTCACTCTTTGGCCGATATATGTTAACCCAGCCTAACACACTAATATTTATGAGCTGGGTCGTGTCTTAAACAGTGACAGACCGTGTCAACCTGATCAGTCATTGTGTCGGCCCATTGTTGCATATCTAATAGCGGTGGAGAGAAAGGAGGAAGGGGGAGTTTTTCTCTTGTTTGGTAGGGTGGATTCGGCAAGGGAGTGGAAAGTGCTAAGGACTGTGAATCCACCCGAGCCCACCAAAAACAATCCTCACTGATATGAACGGATTGGTGATGGAGTCAAGTCACAATAGAAAATTACCCTCCTTTGTTGAAAACTAGTTAACGCTGTTACGTTTTTATTTTTCAATGAAATTTCATCTCATTTAAAAATCAGTAAATGAATTTCATCTCAGCAAATATAATTATCATTATTTTTCAACGATAGAACAATTAAAATTTATGTGGTTACAGTATGCATGCTAACATATATTTACTTAAAAAGAAGACATATGTAACATCACATGTTTACATTTATTCGAATAATTCTACGTGGGCATTGTTTATATAATATAACTTCTACTATTTCGGTGTTATGTATTGATAATGCACCAATTAACATTCCAAAAAAAAAAATCTATTTATCTAAACGGGTAACATAGTAATTTTATAAATAATAGCAATCCTTTCTTTACTTTCTACTTTTAATATCAAACAAAAGGATGGATAACCACAATCTTTTCTTTTTATCATAACAAATAACTTTGAGGAAATTTATAATCCTTCCCATTCTTCATAATTTCCTTCCCTCATAATCTATCAATTTTTTCTACCTTTCATTCCTCATGCCAAACATACCCTAAAAAATTAAGAGCAAATCTTAAGAACTATTCGTGAAATTAACCCTAATTCTGCAGCTGAAACAATTTTCAAGTCGATATTTCCCTTTGATCTTATTTGCTTATGATTGGGGAAAACTGGGACCTGAATCTAGAACGTTTGGAATATTTAGAGCTTGTTCTTTTGAGTGAAAAACTCAAAAAAAAAGCAACTCGAGTTATAACTTTAATGAACAGTATTTTTTCTATTCTTAAAAATATTATAACTTTTTGGTTTTAATTCTGATTGAGATGATTTTTTTTCTATACATTGACAACGAAAAGACGAATAAAACCCGACCCATATATCATATTAAAATTTTTCATCAGCATTGAGTTTTTATTAAAATACTATCTAAATACAAATTCAAGATTTGACTCACTCAAATACAAACCCAAAAAGATTCTTATCTCAAACTATAACTTAAATGTACACAACTGTGCATGGACAATTCAAGTTGAAATAATTATGTCGAGTAATACTTTTCTTTTTCCCCCCTGAAATTAGGTATTACACTTGATTCTCTAGATATATTATCACTATACTAAGCGACCTATATGTAACTTTTCACCGACCCTGCCCCAAACATCCATAGGCGTGTGTAGACGTGGGCACATTTTGAAAGGAAAAGGAAGATCCTATTCACGTCAATTTCGCAATGTATTCTATCACGGCAATTTCTATGTGCTTTTCAGATTGGATTTTGCATCTCAACTGACATGTGTACATGGTATTATAAATCATAGTCTTTTTCAAATGTTGCATTTTATAATATTAAGAGTCCTTTCCGTCCGACAGCGTCGATTGGCTGGCTTTCTTCTTCAGTTCTTCATTTTCATGATCTGTGAAGTATGCATACGCATACATCTCATTGAATTGTCTTCAGATGAGCAAATAATTAAATCGTCTTCTTCTTTTTTCCTAATTGAACAAAAACTAGTCTTTAGAATCTGTAGATGAATCGGGAAATTTGTAGAGCTTAATGACGTATACACAATATTTGGGCTCTGCACTTAAAAAGTTGAGGACGGTGGTCGCCCTTTTCCGCCACATACCCTCATAAAACACTAAAAATGAAGAAATAATAATAATAAATTGGCGAGTAAAATTGGCAGGAAATTAAATGTGGCAAAAAAATTATGAGCATAGTAGCAAACGCAATTGTTGATCGAAGGATGCCGAGCTCAATTATGTTAGATTTCCAATTACTAATTAATTTTGACATAAGTTTAATGTGAACAAATTTATGCCTCGTTCATTTCACCGTTTCGAGTTTTCAATTCTAGTTTTGTTACAATTAAAAGCTCTCACAAAAAGTCACATCTAACTTTTTTATTATAATTAAAAGCTTTTATATAAAATCACGTCTCAACTCAAATTGAAAATTTAAATCGGTGAACTGATCGAGACTATGATATTTAACATATACCATACTTAAAAGGTCAACAGAATCCACCATGGAATAGCATGAATGACCTGCTTAATATTTTTGACCTTGTCTAGTGTCTACACCACAAAAAGAATTTCCAAGTCTTTGTTTTTTTATTATTACGATCTGATCAATAAGAAATTTAAGCGAAATTAAGGGGGTACTATCGCGATATGGTGATCATGAAGATGGAAGGAGAAATGAGCAACTTCGCTATGGTATGGATTACGGTGGTGGCATCACTCTGGTATTGTCACGCCATCGCCAAGATCACCAAACAAGGACCAAAAAGGTTTGTCGTAATCCTCCCGGTGACACTCCTCTTCTTTGTCCTGCCTCTAAATCTGAGTACCATCTGTCTCGGAGGCCCAACTTCTTTCTTCATCGCTTGGCTCGCCACCTTCAAACTCATCCTCTTCTCCTTCGGTAAAGGCCCTCTTTCCTCCGACCCACCTCTTCCTTTGTCACGTTTCGTTCCTCTAGCTTGTCTCCCCATAAAAATCCAAGAAAACGCCGGCCAAAACTCAAAGAAAGGCCAAAAATCGCCTCTAAATTATGCCACAAAGGCCTTAATATTTGCCACTATTTTGCCTGTCTATCAAAACAAATCCTCCATCCATCCCAAACTGTTCTTGTTTCTTTTCGGAGTATACACCTACACCGCCTTGGAGATCATCCTAGCCACGGTCGCAGTGGCTTGGCGTCGAGCTCGAGCCGCAGTTTGACGAGCCTTACCTCTCCACCTCGCTTCAGGACTTCTGGGGCAGGAGGTGGAACATCATGGCTAGTAACATCCTACGCCCCACCGTGTACGTCCCCACACGGGAGATCTTTAGCCGTCTTATTGGGAGGAAGTGGGCCCCGCTTCCGGCAGTGTTGGCATCGTTTTTGGTGTCCGGCGTGATGCACGAGTGGATTTTCTACAACATCGGAAGGTCGAAGCCCACGTGGGGGATCACGTGGTTCTTTGTTGTGCATGGGGTCCTTCTCGCCGCTGAAATTGGTGTTAAGAAGGCGCTGAACGGACGGTGGAGGCTGCCGGCAGCGGCGTCAGGGTTAACGGCGACGGCGGTGGTGATTGGCAGTGCTTTGTGGCTCTTCTTGCCGGCCATGATGAAGTGCAATGCTGACGTCATGGCGCATAGAGAGATAGTTGCTTTCATTGAGTTTGTGAAGAACGTTGGTCCACGGCTTAGAATCGACAAGGCTATTGTGTTCTCATCTTTTCCATAACTATTATTATAGACATTTTTGTATGCATATAACTTACTAATAATAAATAAGTTTTGCGAAGACATTTTAACTTTTGTGTTTGTGTTTTTAAGTCTAGTTATTTTCAGAGATGATGATCTATATGTTGAAGCTATACAAGTTAATTAATTTAAAGAATACGCTTAATTTAAGCAGTACCGATAATTTTTTATTTTATCTCATAGATTCTAATTGATCACATAATGGAAGATGTTTGTCCAATATACCAAATCTCGTTCAAACTGAGTTAAATTGTCCAATTTAAAGTTTAATTCCCCTCTCTATTTTAATAGTTCAAACCATTTTTAAATAGTAAAAGATGCTTATTCTCTCTGCATTTTACACTTATCAAATACAAATTCAGATTTTATTTCCTGTTTTTATTTAAATTTTTAACTGCACATCCAAACGCCAATTCGGACAACAGTTTAAATCATACCGTTCGGATTTTTCTGTTAAAAAAAAAAGTTCAAATCAACATAATTTAAACCAACGAACCAAACGAGTATAGTTGCGTGTCTAACTTAATAAATAACCTTCTGTTTCATAATTACTTCAGAACTAGGGATATCAATGGGGCAGGTTTTTGACAGACCCGCCCCGCCCCGCAGTGAGGCTGCCCTGCCAGGTTAATGGGGCGGGTCAAATCCAGTGGGTCTCGGGGACCCACCCCGCAAAAAATAATAAGTAAAAAATAAAAAACTGGACCATTTTCAAAACAAAATGATTAATATAAATTCCTATATCCCTTGATTGATTGCATTGTATCTTCATATCTTCTCTTGCGCTTTCTCTCTCTACAAATCAATGTCTCCTAAAAAATCTCCAATTTCTCTCTCTAGAATGCTGTTATTTTCTAGTTTCTCCCTCTAGAATCCGGAGACACTCTCTCTCCAGAAAAATTCTCCATCTGAAACGAGCTATCTCTCTCTCTACATATATACACAGAGTACTTTCTCTCTCTAGAATTAAAAGGAGATATGTGTTTGTCTAGAATATTTTTTAAGACCACGACTCAGTTTTTTAGAGCATTGAGTTTGAGAATTAGAATGAAATGTCCGTTTGGTCAAACATCTTCTTTAATTCAACCAAAAAAATTATTTTTAAATTGTTTTTTTGACAATTGGGGCGGGTTTGGGTCGACCCGCCGCACCCCACTTATAAAGCGGGTCATGACCCACCCCACCCCCATAACCACTACAAGTGTCGGTCGACCCGCACTATTGACATTCCTATGAATCAAAACAGGCCTGCCTATAGACATTACATTTAAATAAATAAATAAATAAAAATAAAAATAGAAGAAGGACAAGCATACAGTAGACTCAAACCTAGACTGAGAATAGTTTATCATTTTTTTATTTTACTGATTTAAATTTAAATTTTAAATTTTATTATAATAAAAATTCTCATAAATAATTATATTTAACCTTTTTATTATAATAAAAACTTTTTATTATAATAAAAATTTTTTATATAAAATCACATCTTAATTTAAATTAAAAACTTAAATTAATCCAATAAAATCAAAGCTAATACAGCCCAATTCTCTCCGAAATCTAGACAACCAGCATCTTTGACTATTCAAGACAAACAAATCCTGCCGCTTCTATCTGTATCAGCCTCTGGGCCCCATCAGGATTAACTGCGTGCTCTTCAAAAGACAAATAAGACCTAAGAAACCAAAAAAAAAAAAAATGGAGAGAGAGAAATATGAAGAAAAAAGAAATAAATACTTCTTAAACAGTATAAATTTAATTTTTATTTTTATTTTTAATTAATATTATTTTTAATCAAATAATTATATTAGTTAAAAAAATATTAATAAAAGTATGGAGTAAAAATTTAAATTTATGCACTATCAAAATAAGTATAACGATTTTTTCAGAAGAAATTGAATAAAAAATTATTGTGTAGATCATTAAAGAATGAAAGAATATTGTAAAAAGGCAAGCAGAAAATGTCTCGTGGCCTTGTATGTTGTAGTTCTTATGTGAGGTTCATGCCTTGTAGCTTCTGTTTGGTGTATTTTCTTGTTTTGAGAGCTCCTTTTGTATTTTCGTTTCTTTTGAATATAGGGACCCGTTTAGTTCGCTGATTCGAGTTTTTAATTCGAGTTGAGATGTGACTTTATGTGAAAACTTTTTACTGTAACAAAAAAGTTAGATGTGATTGTTTGTGAGAGCTTTTTACTGTAGAAAAATTCGAATTCTAAACTCGAATCAGCGAAATGAACGGGGCCTAGGTCTACATCAAACTCATTGTGCTTTATAGTTATATATAGGTCTCCATCTCTCATTTAAAACCAAGTGAAACACAAATGTAATTTGAAATAGAATATCTAATATTGTAAAATACAAATTAATATGAGCTACAAAATTGTTTTCGACAAGAAGGGAACCCATTGGGCATGACAACTATTATCACCATCCATTTCAACACGTGAAATGAATAGGTTTTTAAAATGACTTTTTAAGAAAAACACGAGCCCGTTTGGTTCATAGATTAAAACCATGTTATTATAATTATTTTTTATTTACGTGTATTTTTTATGAGAGAAGATATTGTAGCGAACCACGAATCATGATTTAAATCAGGGAACGAATCCCTTTACCAAACGGGTGGACGTCTAGTTCATGAATTTAGAATCATGATTCAGAATTATTTTCGTTTTACGTGTATTTTTTGTGAGAGAAAAATACTGTAAAGAATCATAAATCATGATTCAGAATCAGAAACGAATATAGGAAATAAATGTCCCCTTATTTTTAACCGTTTAAATTTAATCAAAATCACATAAAATTTTAAAAAATATACATAACCGATAAATTTTAATATATATTTAGTAACAAGAAAGAAACAAAGAAGAAAAAAAAAAAAAAAAAAAAAAACACAAAAATCTCCGAATCACAAGAATTACAAAAAAGAACGTCACAGAACCAAAAACTCATAAAAAAAATCAGAGAAAGTGGGATGTCGATCAAGCGAGGAAATCTGTCGGTGTTCTGGAGAATTGCAGAGGACATCTCCGATGAACATCCAGCGTAGTAGACCTCCACATATGCAGTCCTCCCCGCGCGGAAGTGATCATATCTCCTCGGCACGATGGCTACAACGGGAGATCTCCTCCGTGCGACCATGACTGGGAGAGATCTTTACGTGCGGAGTTCCCAAGGGATCTCCTCGGTGCCACGACTGCCATCGAAGGTCGCTTCGCTAGTTTCGCGACGATCGTCTGTGTTCATCTCCTGCTGA